ACAAGTTGTCATGATAGGATTGAGATGATGTCATGATCTCCTAGATATCAAACTGCTGTGTCCATTTCTTGTTTTAGGCTATAAAGTAGCCAATTCCATGCATGAACACATACAAATAATGAAAATGCCTCAGGAAAAATATAGGAAGTTTCCATTGTTAATAAATGTGTGTGGATATTTCTTCCTGACCTCTTCCATAGTAAAAGAAGGCCATTATTAAAGATGCATCCTTTAACAGAAGGGAATATGAAAACATTTATAGTTTTCAGGGTAAATTAGCAGCTCTCTTTTCACCTTGGCAGGAAATGTCTAAAGTTTAAGTGACCATTTTCATCTTGTCAGCACACTTCACCACTTTCTTTGTTCGTCTTTCAAAATTGGTAAGATTTGGTAAGCTTATTCACAGTTTGTAATTTGCTGAAGGCAGGGGTCCACTTATACACTGTGTGTTACAAGGTGAGAAAGATGACATTTTAATTGTGTCTTAACAAATAAAGTATTCAGTTCCCCCATAAAGATTTTATGGTGATGTTCACAAAAAAAGCCAACCAAAACAAACAAACAAAAACACAACAAACTGAAAATGATAGGGATACCTATGTGAGCAAGGCTGCTGGGGGACCAAGGCAGAGAGATGGGAAGGGAGCAATTGCCTTACATATGCATTACATATATTTCTGTGTCTCCCCCCCCGCCGAAAAAATAGTAGCCTGAACTGGCAGCATTGAAAGAAAATTGTCATACCTTCCATTGATAGTCGCCATGTCAATTGGTACAGCTCTTCTGAAAAGTAATTTGTTCGTATGTTTCAAGGCCCATAGATATTTTACCTTGGCCTTTACACTACTGGGAACTAATCTGGGGTCGGAACCTAATCCAAGAGAAGAAAGTCACTTGTAGAACTATACAGGAGAAATAATGAGGGCAGAAATGGGGAGGGGCTGTGTGAATGAAGAGGATTTAAGAGATTCAGGAAGTGTGAGGTCAGTTTGACAGAGTCAGGTGATGGCGAGGATGGGTGGAGGATAGGAAGGTAGAGAATAGAGAGCCTAGAATAACTTCCAGGCTTCTGGCCTAGACAACTGTCTTGGCTCATTCATTTAGAAATAGAATGCACAAAGAGAAAAATGATACTAGAAAGGTACCACAGGTTTGCATTTAGAACTGTTTCATTTGAGAGGTCTGGTGACAAAGTGAAGATGGAGAGTAGACAAAAGTACACGTCTGGGATTAGAATATATCCAGGTTGGAAACATAGATTTGAAAGTCAAAAGTGGATACTGGCAAGCAGCCACCCCAAAAAGAAATTTAAAAATATTTTTATTGAACGGAATACTAGTACGCAGTAATCATGGCAAGGACTATGTTGCATCTTGGGAAAATTCTCATAATATGAAGGAAAAAAATGAGAATAAATGCATTTCTGCAATGATTATACTTTATATGCACAAGGAAAAGGGCTGGAAGGAAACAACAAAAATGAAAATATTATAATTTGAGTGGGTAGTAGGATGATGAGGATTTTTTTCTTTAATTTGCTATTAACACTATTGTTACTATGTTTGTGCCACATAAATAATTTTTTTTTAAAGATTTTATTTATTTATTTGAGAGAGAGAGAATGAGAGAGGGCACATGAGAGGGGGGAGGGTCAGAGGGAGAAGCAGACTCCCTGTCGAGCAGGGAGCCCGATGTGGGACTCGATC